AACAACAATTTCATTCAGTATTTAAGATTTAATATTAAAAATTAAAAGTATGAAAGTTTTAAATTAAAATCCATAAAAAAAAACTAAAAAATAATACAATAAATAACGTTTTTTTCTTTTTTCTTTATATATTTACAACGGCTATATTTTATGCATGAAACGTTCTGGTGAAGTAAAATTTATTTGGCTACGACAACCAAAACCTATGCACGTGAGGGACATTATTGTGCTTGCCAGACATGGCTAGTGGGCCCATCGATGGACTCTGCTGTGGGCCCGAAATCCAGCTCACTTGATTCACCTTCTTCCACAACCACACTTCAAAATTTTCAAATTTTAAGAAAGACAAACCTTATATACACCTTTATTATAGATGATAGTGTTCTTCTCCAATCAAATTTAACATTTTACTTTATATGTTATCAAGATCAAATTTTAAATGAGATTGGAGAATAATTCTTAAAAAGTATTTAAGCTTTTTTTTTTCTCTTCTAAAAACAAGCAAAAGACTATTTTAAATATAGATAATTGGTAATTGTTTCATAATTGGGTTTTTAATATAAAATGTTTTTCTTATTTTGTTTATGATCAATTTTCAATGAATTTTTGATCGACAATCAAATTTATTCCATTTTCAAAATTCGAATGTATGACAAACGAATTAGTAAAAAGTTATTATTTGTATAATAAAATAAAATTAAATATATTTTTAATTCTCATATTTGAACGTAAATTTTTTTTTTGATATTGTAAAATTAAAATTTGATTTTTTTTAATTTTTGATATAGTTTAGTTTTAAAATTTTTAAAATAATAATATTTTTCTTAATTTAACTGTGTGACATGTGAAATAACGTTTAAATTGTTTATATTAAATTGATAAATTGTATTTCATATATTTGTTTATAATACTATCTAACAAACTCAATAAAATTAATATTATTAACTTAATAAAATTATATTTATTTATATTTAATGTTATAAATCAAAATATATTGTAAAAAAAGATGAATTTTAATTTTGAATCTAAAAATATATTTTATCCATAAAATAACAATAACTTTAATTTAATTTATAAAAATGTAAAAAGCTAATGAATTCGATTTTATCGTCAAATCTAATGAGAAATTATTCTCTTAGTTTATAACTTGAATGTTAAAATTCTCAAAAATTACAATTTAGTGTTGAATTAATGTTTAAATGTTACAAGTTTGAAGAAAAAAGGGTTCACAAATTTTAACGGGTGATTGTTAATTTTTGTATATATTGAGGAATTAAATAAAAAATTATTCTCTTGAAATAAAATTGTTAGCGGTCACTTAATTTTAAAAAAAAAATAATTTAAAAATGTTATTCTTGTTTTTGAAAAAAAGTTGGCTCCTTTATAAATATCTGTTTCAGATAGCTGTTACAAAGTGTGCCTCGCTTCTAACGTCACCGACTCAGTTGCCATCAGTGAGTGAGTGGTCTCAGCATCAACAAAGGTACAAAAAATTCAGATCTCACTTCTTGCTTGGTTACCATTCATGTATTGTCTAATTTCCTTTCTGGGTTTCAGTAATCTGTGTTTCATGTGCTGTTTAATACTGTACGATGATAATGTTTCGTGTTAACTCATGATGTTCTTTGAAAAAAAAAAATGGTTTTGTGCTTTAATTTCTGGCACATTTTTTTACTGCATGCTTATTGGATTTCTTTTGTTGGTGGTAATTTGGCTTTTTTGTTACCACCAAGTTTAGATTTGTTAGTTTCTTAATAGTTTGGAGTGGTGGGTTGTGACCTGGATTGTGAATCCTGTTTTGGGGTGTTCTAGTTTGTGTTTTTCATGCTTGAATCGATTAAAAATGGCTTCTTGAGCTCTGATTTGTTGATGGGTAATTGGTCTTGAGATCTAGCATCTGATTCCATCGGTTTCCTTATTCAATTTTGTGCCTTTAAGGTTTTTGAATCCATGCAATTTGAGCATGGCTAGATCAGGAGGGTCTGGCACTGGAATGATTTTGGTTTTGCTTGATCTGTGCTGAAAGAAACGTCTCAAGGCAAAAACAAAAGGGATGCAACGGAATAAATTATGATTTCATTGTAGGGTAGAAGAAACAGGACAGAGTGCCCTTTTGATCTGATCCTCTTCAATATTAAAATTGAGATCTATGTTTCTGTCAAAATAAAATGGCCATATAGTTTCAAAATAAAATGTTGATGTTCTACATAAAATGTGCAGGAATCAAAGAATGAATTAGGAAAATAACAGTATTTATTTATCTCGGTTTTACTCTTCTGAGTAAGACGTGAAAACCTTTTAAATCATTCTGTTGGCCTCTGCATGCATAGATTTAAATTTTCCCAATTCTCAATCTTTCCATTTCCCTATTCATTTCATTTTTGACATCTGCATTTTCCATTCTACCAACTGATTAGCTTACTTGTGTGTGTATGTATGCTCATAAGCTTTCAATCCTGTTGTTTTATGATGAAAGATGGAGGATGTATGTAATTGAAAGTTTATGTGCTCGTTTTAAATGTAAAATATTTATCCTAGTTCATTCAAAACCAATCCCATTACTTACATTGGAGTACATAATAAATACTTCACTGGTTTGAATAAGGCATCAATTGTAGGTAGTTGTTGCTTTTTGTTGATTTCTGATGGCTCATGGTTCTATCTGCTGCATATGAGCCTGTTGTTTTTGTTCTTGTGTGAATTTTGGATGTAAAATCTATTGTGACAAAAAGTGTGATGCTGCTATTTTGGTTGTTTAGCATCACCAAACAGAGGGAAAATGGGTCGTGGTGTGAGTGCTGGTGGTGGCCAGAGTTCCTTGGGTTACCTCTTCGGCAGTGGGGAGCCTGCCAGCAATGTTCAAAGTGCTAACCAGGCTGCAAGTGGTGCACGCACTCAAAATGCTAGTGCTCCTTCACCACCAGTTGAGAAGCAGCAAAGTCCAGCACCAGTTGAAAAGCAGCAAAGTCCAGCACCAGTTGAAAAGCAAATTCCTGCTGGAATTCCTGGAAGTCTCAAAAACAATTACCATCGTGCTGATGGCCAAAACTGTGGCAACTTTCTCACTGTACTTCCCTTTCCAAGTTATCTATTATGATTGTTTTAGTTTTAACCTGCCCTTTCTTCAACTTGGCTTTAAATATTCTTGTTTATCTCCACTTACATGAGCCTAGGAAGTACTAGAAAGCTTTCACAGTAAATTTGATGCATTTTGGAGTCTCCTCCTCTTGCATTTCCTACTAATGTCCAGCTAAAAGTAGTGAAGTTACAAGTTTAGTGTTGATAAAATTAAGGGGCAATAGTAAAACATGATTTTTAATTGCAACAGTACTACATTGTGGGATCTAGTTCTAGCGAAAAGCTTTCAAAACTTTAAGAATAGTTCATGTCTCTCTGCTTAAGCTACCTTTGCATGTTTCTCTTGCTTTTTTGGTTGGAAGAGTGACATAAATTCTACCTCCTGTACTTGACATAATATGGGTTTACAAATACTGTACTTTGTGCAACTTGTGTAATATTTGGAAGAGTGCTGCAGCACTAGCTTCCTCTTTGTTGAGTTAACATTCAACAATGATGTGGCTTAAGGGTTAGACAGGCTTAAATAAATTTAAGAATGAGGCATTTTATTTACTAATAAAACAATTTATGTTAAAATGTATGAGTTTTATTTAAAATTTATATTTTGAATGCCTAAAACAATTGAACTTGTTATGGTACTCAGGAATTGTTGTTGATGATGGTTTGTTTTTGGGGTGCAGGATCGACCATCTACCAAGGTTCATGCTGCTCCAGGTGGTGGATCTTCCTTGGGATACCTGTTTGGTGGTCCTCCAGGGAACTAATTAATTCATGGCTGTGGTTAAAATCTACCATGATGATGAATCATGTGTAAAATAGATAGTGTTGTCATTGCCTTGTGTTTAGACCAGTGAACTTTCTTCTTCTGCTATTGAACTCAACCTCTTGACAATGCTGGTGTGGCTATTGGCCCAAACTAAGCTGATTCTAGGTTTGTTGTTCTGTGCTATTGTGTGGGTTTCAATTAAGGAATTTACTGTGCCAATGAGCTAAAGTTCCATTATGAAATCAAGTTCATTTTTTATAATAGTGGTTTTATATTTTTTTGTTTTGAGATTTTTAAAGAAAATATCAGTTTTTGTTTGAAAATTTTATAACATAATTAGAGTTAAAGTGTTGGTGAATGCATTTTTATTGTGAATGGAATCAATTTTTTTTGACAGTTCCATTCCTCTATTTAACAAAGTTAATTTTTTAAATATTCAATGTAACCCTATCTTCAAAAAATTATGTAACAGATTAGAAATAGTATTTTTAAATTAAAGTGTGGTTAAATGTATTTTTACTTTTATATTTTTATTATGGCATGAAGTCTCTTTTACAACAGTAAGATTTTTTTTCAAAATGTTAAAAAAAAAGTTAATTAGCTTCATATATTTTCTTATCAACAAGATGTGATCGGTAACAAAGTAACAAATATATGAATTGTGTTGTCTATAAAAATAAAACATTAAAAAAACATCATGTATAATTCTTTGATATTTCTCAAAAATTTTATTTTTCATGTATATAAATTAATTTAAACTCACAAAATTCATTTCATATATTATTGGATGAGTTTTACTAGCCATTATATCGTATGAATCCACTTTTCTCTGAGGTTATTGGATTATTTATTTATTCAACTACTGTTAAATTAACATTGTGTATGAGATTGAAGAGTTGTCCAAAGCTTCGAACAAATGAAGAGAGGCAAATTCGTTTGTGTTACTAGGGGAAGGAAACAAATAAAACAATATATGTTGTAGTTCATGGTCATGTTTTTGTGCACCTCTTTAATGTTGTTAGTGTCTCGATGGAATAAAAAATAATGAACAAAATTGACAACAAACCTTGTTAGAATTACTTAACCCACTGAAAACCCTACATTGCCACATGGGTTTTGTTTTTCTAGAATGATGCAACTCTTAACTTGAAATAAAATCTACAATTGACCTACATTTACACTTTTATTTGAATTTACATTTTTACTTTTTTATTTTAACCAGCAAATAAAAAAAAATAACCTGCATGCAGCTCTCTTTCATCTTAGGATTTATTTTATCCGTTCCATTGGATGAATTTTGTGGCAAATCGAAGTTGAATGAAAATCAGCAGTGTTGCTTTTCTATTAATGAATTTTGTGGTTTTTAATACATGAGACGATAAAACACTCTTAACAGGAAATTAATTAAAAGGGGTATTATTTATTACGCGTCCGTTCCTTTCAATAGTAACACTCTTCTTAGAGAATATTGAACAGAGTTGATGTCATAAACAATGTCATTTGATTTCTAATTGGTGGAAACTGGCATGGTTTGCTTCAAACCAAACCATATTCCACAACACTCGAGATCTATGTAGAAGGAAAGGAGAAAGAAAATTCAGTATCCAAACAAATCCTCAATCCTCAGTCAGTATTTTATAATTCAGAAGGAACTACACATTCATACTTTTGTAAATCAGCACGCCTCAAGCTCACTGCAGCTTAACGTGTAGTGTCTCAGGCATTGGAGCCATTGTAGAGTCATAAACAAGGTGACACCAGCTCCACTCCAACTCAAGACAGAAGGGGGAAAAGTGGGTGGGCTAGTTGGGGAGGCAAAAGAACATGTTATGATCCAAACAACGACAATTTAGTACACTGCCTTATGTTAAAAGTAAAACAAGGTACAAAGTGGAAGCAAGAAACAAAGCAAGTTTAAATGTAAAAGCATGTAAAATTTTATTCAGTAGGAGAGAGAAAGCATGTAAAATTAACAAGGTTAACAGAAATCTCATGAAATGCTAATTTATTTCATGGTTTAAATTACTTTTTCCTCGTTCATCCATACTTCTGGTTATGGGTATATCAAACAATAATGGTCACTCTGAATTAACTATTTATGTG